AGCCATGCATAAAAGTGAAAAACAACATTCTAATTTCATTTACTTAGATTTATAGCAGTGTCCATAATAGGTATGTCATTCCCAGATATTGGCATTCTACCAATGGGAAAAATACTATCAGGTGAAATATGGATGAAATGCATATGTAAAGCACCAGTCAGTGGAGTAAGGTAAGCAACCACAAGAAGTGAAAAGCCAAGAACGCTTGTGAATCTGAGCAGTGCTCCTTTCACCCCTTCCCTTCAAGGGAGAAACAATTTCAGGATAGATGTGTGTGCAGAATAGGAGGTTGAGTGCTCTTCGTGGACAATTAGCAGACTAAACTCCCCTCTCTCTTCATGCTTTGAGGAAAGGGTCCACAGCCAGCTCACAGACAGCCATGGCTCTGTAAGCCAAGACCACTTCGACTTACTCCTGACCATGTTGACTCAATCACTTTTTAAAACAAACAAAAAAAGAAAATCTATTTGATTCTAAGGGCAATCGTTTTTTGTGGTTTGTATGTATATATTTTCTCACCACAGGAAAGAAAAATGCTTTAAGTTTACATCTTTGAGCCATTCACCGGCTGTACCTAAACTGCTTAAGGAAACTGGGACAGACAGTGCTAAATCCCAGAGCATGTGCTCAAGTGTTCCCACAAGGACTTCTACAGTTTTCCCACAGTTTGAGTCCATTCAGTGTCACTCCAAATGGAAAGCAGTATTTGCCTCAGGTGTGTCTAATCCACTAAGGAGATACTGCTGAAAAGATCTTCCTTAAAGAACAGTGAACGTTCTGTTCTTCCAGGCAAGATGGTCACGTTTTCCAGCAGGGACAGACCTTGTTATTTGCCAGTCAGAGGCATCATCAGCTCAAGAAATGGGCTGCAGCAGAAACTGCACTCCACATCTCAAACAGTCCGCTGGCACTACAGATCAGGACTCACCCAAGCACACCAAGGCAACAGAGCATTTCTCAGCTCCAAATAGCATTGCCCACTAAATTGAACCTTAAAATAATCACAGAGTAAAACCAAAGCAGCCTAGGTTATTCTCCATGTTGAACACTTTGCTCAAACTCTGCTCAGACTGCACAGGTAAAAGATGTACAGAAATTGCAAGGAAGGCAAAAAAATCTTTTTGCTACTACCTGTGACAAGTGGAGCTCACAGCGACACAAATGATCGACACAGCCTACATCTGCTCCCCCAAAACACATCTCTCATCGTCCCTCACACTTGTCATCTGCAGCAGTGTTAGCAACTACTAAGTGATTCACATTGAGAATGTTTTTCCTGCACGCTCTTATTAAAGATTTTTGTCATCTAAATATTCACATATAAAACACTTTAAACGAAGATTTGCCTATGAGTTGAACCCGAATTTGCTTAAATCCACTAGAAAGTGGGCTCAGATCCACCTGCTCCAGGCTGAAGAGCCTGGGTAACATTGCTGTATAACACTCCAAAAAATACCATTTTATTGCCTTCTTACAGAGAAAAGCATACTGTTTAGTCAGTGCTATTACTTGTGATACAGTTTGCTATGGAAAAGAATTTACGGAAATGGGAGGACTGGTCCAAGTGGCCAGAAGTACCACACTTCAGCACCAGGAAGGATTTCACAGCCATAAAAGAGGGCAGGAGGGACTGCCCAGGAGCACTTTGCCTTGTTCCCAAACCTGTGCGCTGCACGTGGGGGATCACTGCACCGATCTCCTCACGTTCCACACACAATGACTTTCCAGTTTCCCCCCAGTATGCACAAGCAAGTAAACCAATGAATGTGATGATTACAGCTCACCCCAACAGAGGCTGTGCATCTCCCCACCATGGCACAAGAAAACAATCACCTGTGCTAAATAACAGTTGGCTAATGAACTACTAAAAATCACAGGTTGTGCTTCAGACTGCAAAGGTTTCTGTTGAAAAAAGACTTGAGCAGCCAGTGAATCTCCACTTAGACAAGACAGTCTTACAAACAACTCTGAAAGGATCATGCAAAGCCTGCTATCATGCTTGTATAGGCTGTTCACAACAAGGGACAAAGAATTGGCACCCTGGGGAGCCAAGCAAGAGGTCATATCCTTCCCAGAAGAGTCTGTGATTTTTGGAATAAAGTAATCTGATGCACAGATGGATGAGATGATAAACAGTTTTTGGAGAGGAAAATGATAACACTGGATTCGGAAACTAAGCACAGCAGGTAGCAAGCTTCCGGACGGGCGCTGAAAAGACTCGCGATTTCCTGAAAGCTGATAAGCTTAATTCCTCAGATGTGAATTTTTACCTGTTAACCATTACCATTACTGGGGAGCAACACCAGATCTCACAGATGCAATGCTAGCAAGAGCCCCATCCGCTGCTCCACATGGCACAAGAAATAAGTGGCCTTTCTATTACCAAGACACCTGCTCAGGACTATCCAGGCATTGTGCTACTATAAATCTACCAGAAAGCATTTCACACAGCCACAAAAGAAACCTGCACTCACCGATGTGCCACTGTAGCTGACGCTACTGTCCAATTACTCAGGTTTAGCATTGTCAAAAAGAACAGGCTCATTTCCTGAGATTCATCACATTCATACTTAAATCAGTGAAATAAATTGTTCAGGGAGATGTGGATTACAATGGATCAAATGATAATCACAATTACAGGCGATTAGAAACTCATCTCTTTTCTAATGCTGAGCATGGTTCCCTTCAAGTCGAACACGAGAGAAAACACTCGTAGGACATCTTGTCCTGTTGATACCAGGCTAAATATTTAAAGACCGAGAACAGCAGGCTTTAAGCATTTTCACTTTTTTTTTTTTCTCAGATTACATTTGCTTTAGCAAAAGAACCACAACAGCAATAATTAATAAAAATAGAACATACCAGGCAGAAGTCGCTGCAGACATTTCTGTGAGCCATATAAAATTGCCCTGCAAAAAAAGAAAAATAAAAAAAAAAAATAATGAACACATACAGCTCTTCTGGAGAGGCGACACTCTGAAGAGCAATGGAACTCCAGCGTGGTGCACGCAGTGTGTTTGGTGTATCTGACTAACAGCGCCCGCGGCGCTGCCTTCTACATGGGGACACTTCCAAACCAGGAAAGCCAACGCCAACGAAGGCAGCCCACGTGTTCGGCAGCCTCAGGCGATGAGAGACGCGCGCCGGTGCAAACTCGATGCAACCAAAGCTTGGAACGCTTCCCTTCCCTGGACGTAACCCTGGCAGCGCCGAGGCAGCGAGCCGTGCGCTGCACACCCCTCACCCCGCCTCCCCCCCGCCGCCCGACGGCCCGGCGCCGGCACGGCCAAACAAACCGTCTGAATCGACGGCGGCGAGCAACCGGGAGGCAGCGAGAGCGGCTCCGCGGGCCGAGCCGTGCGGACACCTGCAGAAGCGGCACCCGGCGGTCATTCCCGTGTGGCTGCCGCCCCGCGCGGGTGCTGGCGGGGACGGGCGGCAGCTGCCCCGCCTCGGGCGGCCCCGCGGCGAGTTTCTCTGAGGGAAGCGGCGCGCGCGGGAGGCCCTCTCGGAGCCGCGGCCCCGCCAGTCCCGATCCCACAGCCGCGCAACACGCCTTTCTTCTCCCAGCACCCCGCCGCGTCCCCGCGACGGCCGTCGTCTTCCCGCCCCGCTCCCGGCCGCCCGCCGCCTGCCGGTCCCGCTCACCTCCGACCGTCGGGCGCGCCGCAGCCGGGTCCTGTAGAGCCGCCCGGGGAGCCGCCCGCCCCGTGTGGGGAGCGCGAGCGGCGACCGTTGGGGCGCGCGGCGGGAGCGGGAAGGAGCCCGCGAGGGAAGGGGCGCGCACGGCGCTGCGCGAGCTGCGCGCGCACGGAGGGAGCGAAGCGCCGCGCGCGGCAACAGGGGGCGTCCGAGGCCGGAGCCGGGCCTCTCGCCCCGACGGTCGGGCAGCGCAACGGCGCCGGGACCGCCGCCGCCGAGGGGGGCACTGCCTGGGGGGGCCGTCAGCCACCGGCGCGTGCGCGCGAGCGTCCCAGGGGAGCCGCATCGACGCGATGCTGTACCCTGGGACCGCCCTGTCGGTGCTCGCCGGCAACGTAACGATAGGGTAGAGTAGGGCAGGGCAGGGTTCCGGGCTCCGACGGGGCGGCCGGATCAGCCCCCGCGTCTCTCCCGACTCGCGCCCCGCTGGGCCCCGGAGATGCTGCGCGCGCGGGAGCCCCATTGGC